TCAGCCCAGATCTAAAATGTAGTGGGGTAGAAAGTACAGATACCTGCTCTCAAATGTAGTGAAGTAAAAGTAAAAATATCCACTGTAAATTTACTCAAATAAAGTACAGACACATAAAATTTGTCCTTAAGTATTGTACTTTGTTACCTTTCACTACTGCTGAAAACATTACTGGGTTATTGTAGAAACTCTTGTCCTCTTAGAAGTATTTTTGCTGGCTATTTAAAGGTGCATTGTGTAACTTTCTGGGTGGAGATGATGTTGCTGTGCCTGGAATTTTTCACAATATAAACTAAAAATCTGTTTCCATGGAGACCAGCACCAAGCCAATTTACAAGTTCGATTTGTGGAGAGGAGGGCTCATTATGGTAAAATTTAACCCTATCAGGCTCAAATTAATTTGTAGTAACAGGAAAAATCTGCTATTTGGGGAAAATGATCATATGGGGTAGTAATATACAATCCTGAGGTTTGTTTTTTTTTGAGGGAGACCTTCACATCCAGTGTGTTCTGGGATGTTTCAGATTTGCAGCATTGGTCCGGTGTGGTAAATTAACACTGAAGACTGAAAATGATATGAATGCTAACTTTATGTTTATACCACTTTTCATAACAATGAAAACATAAACCACAGTGTAACAGCTTTACAGTGACAAAACAATATCACTTTTTTGTGTGGTTCTCCAAGAAACAATTTTTATCCTTTGTGAAGCACAAAAGTACTTTGCACTTCTGGCAGACCGTTTGTGTGTAGACATTCTTGCACAGTCTGCATCGTCCACGTTTATCAGCATGGATGGGAAAAGAGGCTCCTGAGTAAAAAAGGCTCATAAAATATGGATGTGGAGTCAGTAGGTAATTGGCATTTAACTGTTACAAATCTGCAACACCTGCCTGGAGAGGGTTAAATGTTTCAAGGTGTTTTTTTATAAAAAAAAAAAAAACTGTTATTAAATGCCATACTGTGGAACATTCCAAGGAAAGCAGCATATCTCCATGGACACAAGCAGGACAATGCTGGACTCTTACTAGAAAAGTTACACCTTTTTGAAAATCAGCACACTTTAACTCATTTTCTGCTACTCTGAGATTATCGAGTCAACTTTAAAGCGTGTATGACAGGTTTGGATAATTCACAAAATTTGACTTGACTGAATTTGGAGGGATAAAAGCTTTTGTAAATATAAATTATAGTCTCAAAACACACCAATGACATCACACCAGGGAGCGTTGTATCCAAAAGTTCGGTATAATTTATACTTACAAAACGGATACTTTAACAAAACAAAGGTGCTTTCTAATCTTTTTATTATCAATTTTTAGTTTTGGCCCAGTTTACCACATTGTTGCTATGGTAACAGTTATGGAATTCCCTAGCATGATGTCATAATTTCCAACTACGTAAAATTTTAAACAAAAAAATTACCAGATTAAGAAAAAATGTTTTAAATTTTGATAAAAAACTTATATATAACTATCTTAGCTGTGTTTTAGTAGAATGTGGAGTCCAACCTGTTATATACACTTTAAATTGAGTATTTTAAAACAGGTTTGCATAAGGATTTGAATCTAAATGTAAAACAACAAAAGCTTTACAAAACACTGCCACTTTACTTTGGCAGTTGGAAAAAATATGTAACTGTAATTTTTCCGACGAGCATCGCGATTAGATTTCAGGTTTTAAGTATCACTAATAACATTCTGTTCGAAGTTCGTATTGTAAACGCATCCAGAAGAATTGACAAAAAGATTGAAATCTGAACTGACAAACTAATACAAGTATGACATTTCAGAGCATGTTTGTACAGATCTAAACTACTGGGTTAGCAGTTTTTATGCAGAATATTTAGTTTGTGGATGTAATTATGGTACTTACTTACGGTATTACAGCCTTTGCGAGTCTTGATCTGCTAATTACTTTTACTGAAACTGCGATTTTGATTCGATTGTGATTAATCTAGCAACCCGATGGCAGCATGTTAGACAGTAACTGAGCCCAAAATCAAAAGCTGTGTCCATTTTAAAGTGATTCTTGTGATCTAATGTGGTTTCCTTCTCAAAAACATACCTGGAGTTTTGTTTCATTCACACATGTTTGAGAGGAGCCAGTTGAGGTGGCTCGGGCATCTTTTCCGGATGCCTCCTGGACGCCTCCCTCGGGAGGTGTTCTGGGCATGTTCCACTGGGAGGAGGCCCCGGGGAAGACCCAGGACACGCTGGAGGGACTATGTTTCTCGGCTGGCCTGGGAACGCCTTGGGGTCCCCCCAGAAGAGCTGGAGGAAGTGTGTGTGGAAAGGGAGGTCTGGGAGTCCCTGCTTAGACTGCTGCCTCCGCGACCCGGCTCCGGATAAGCGGAAGAAAATGGAATGGAATGTTTGAGTAACTCTTTACTATTATCTGTTTATATCTCCAAAAGCTCAAAATGCTCTGTTCCGACTTGTCATGTCATGAAGTTGTAGTTTTCAAGTTAACAGCTGCCTTTTGCCTTTTGTTTAGTCAAAATTGGGAATTCCAAGGCTGAAATCACCCACATGATTCTAGAGTTTACAGTTTAACACATTGGAGCACTTCTTTTATTACCATTTACCATTCTGTTATGTGGGTTTTGTGTGTTAAACATGTGCGAATGAAACAAAACACCACTCCAGGTATGTTTGTGATGAGATGATAACCCTAACGTTATAACAGATCAGAAAATCGAGTGAAATGGGCCCTTGAAAGGAGATGTGTCTAGTATCAACAAACCTGGATGAGATAAACAGTGGATTTAACTGAAACACGACTCCTGATGTTGCCGTGTGGAGCGGTCGGCGGTGATTGGTCAAAATGTTGAGCAGCACAACAAAGGGTTTAAAATGGCTGCCGGCCAAAAATAGCACTTGTAGCCAGTCAATGTTTCCTAAACCTGGACAATAAGGAATGGGATTAGGATCTGTCCATGATGTCATTCCTGTTTGTTTGCCACAGTTAAATGGCCTTTATTACGTAAAATTGACTCTTGTGAGTTTTAAGACATGTTATAATGTTGTTAGCTCATAAAAAACATACCTGCAGTTGTGTTTTGTTTCATTTGACACCTTTTTATTATTAGTCTGTCTACATCTCCAAAGCTCAAAAGTTCCACCTTGGTAGTTTTTCTGTTTTGTCTCACATGATCTTGTGGTACCAGATCTTGTACACCTGAGATATTTTTATTACTTCATTCTGTATTGTATTTTTACTTGTACATATAATTATAGAAATATACTGATATAATTATGCCTTTCTCTTTGTTATCATATTATATTGTGATGTCTGAGCAAGGGATGGGGCATGATTAGTTGATTAATTGATAATTGTTCATTAAGAATTTCATCGATTAAGTTAATTTTAATCGACAAACCGAATGTAGGTTGCTGTGCGTAGCGTGACCAAACACTGGTCTGTACATGTGTCTCTCTGCACTCAGAAGGAAACGGCAAACAGAAACATTCGGTCAGCCTGCAACGTACCGAAGCACAACTGCGTATTTAACAATGATTTGTACAAGAAATTCCACGCTTTCCGTTGCATTTGGGACAAGTGTGAGTCCATGTGCACAGTGTATAAAGCAGGTACATATGTTTCTGTGTCCAGTGGGAAAAGGTTTTACCAGGTGAGAGTCGCTCAATGTGGATGACGAGTCTCCACCTCCCTCCCCCCGTACGGTGTCCTGGTTTTGACAAACACAAATCTGGTCACACTAACCTGTATTCCACTGAGTCATGTCTTTTAATCCGACAGAACTTGAACCACATCAGAACCACAAGAGCTGTAGTTTTTTCTTCGCTTGGTTTTTGCAAATTAGCAATGCGTTTTTAAGTTTTGTTTCTGTGAGAGTTGCGCAAAACTGAATTAAACACATTATAATGTCAAACAAGCTGATGTGGCTCTAGAGTGTTTATGTTTATATGTTCGTAAAGTTGAATTTATTTATGCAGATTAGTAGTGCAGATAGTAATAATAATGATGATCATTTTAATATAAAAATGTTAATGATTAATCGATAATCGATCGTTAATTCTTCCGACGATCGATTAAGAAAATTTCATTGAATACCCATCCCTAGTCTGAGCTACTGTGTCCAAGTCATTTCCCTTGTTGATCAGTAGTAATATTGTCTGAGTTTTGTCCCATCCCTAATCTCTATTCAGCTTGGTTGTGAATTTATTTACACCTTATGAAAAGTTTTTTTTTTTCTTTGTGTAAGTGTATTGTGTAATAGGGCTGGGGATCATTCAGAAGTTGCCGATACAATACATATTTCGATACAGTGAGCATAGGATTTGATACAATTCATTACGATATATTTCAAATCAGTTCGATACGATCCAATAAAAAATAATGTCTTAATCATGGCTGTGATCCTAAAAGTCTTTGTTGTACAACTTATGGTGCAAAGTTCATATGAAACACAAACATTTTAATCATCAAAACTGTGAAAATGTCAAATGTGTTGCATAAATAAGTTTCCTTCCACTAAACAAGCACCAAAACTGCAGCTGTAACAAAAATCGATACTGTATCATCACATCAAACGATACGATATCGATATTTCAACATTTTGTACCAGAAAAGTTACACAATAGGGGGTCTTTTCTGGTGGAGGGTCTGTCAAATGCTTTTCTTCATGAAGATGTTATTGCTTTGCCTGGAATGTGTCACAGAATGATATTAAACCTTTCTAACTTCATGGAGACCAAACCAGACCAAGTTACAGGTCAGATCAGTGGAGAGGCGACCCCGCTCTCAGTCAGAATGTCTGTTTTTCTAGATATTTTTGAGTTATAAAACCACCTGTAATGGATGACATGCTGTGGAACATTCCAGACAGAGCAATGACGTATCCATAGAAACAAGCAGGTGACGGACCTCCAACCAAAAAGTTACACAGGGCATCTTTTAAAGCTCACAAGAGTCCATACAGGATTTTTAAGATATAACTTTTTAATTGACCCGTTTGTTTCTTGTGTCTTCACAGATTGCCCTTTGACCCCGGACACACCGAACAGTGAAGCGCGAATGTGCACGACTAACAGCCGCCTGGCCGCTCTGAAGAAACAGATAGACATCGAGCTCAAAGTGAAGCAGGGAGCCGAGAATATGATCCACATGTACTCCAATGGCTCCTCCAAGGTCAGTGACAACATTGCAGTATTACCTTTTATACTGTAAACCAAGGATCTAGGCCTTTAAAGGTCTAATATTACACAAAATAGATTCCTGTGAGGTTTTCAGGCAGGTTATTATATTGGTACCTCATCAAAAACAAAGCTGGAGTTGTGTTTTGTTTCATTCACACGTGTTTGAGTAATCCTGTAGTATTCGTCTGTCTATTTCCAAAGCTCAAAATATTCTGTTGCACCTTGTAGTTTTCAAGTTAACACCTACCTTTTACTTTTTGTTTAGTACAGATTGTCAATTCCAGAGCTGAAATTATCCAAATGATTCTAGTAAAGGAGTGTTTTTTAGTTTGAAGAACTCGGCCTAAATGTGCAGGGTTTGTGTGTTAAACATGTGTGAATGAAACAAAACACAACTCCAGGTCTGTTTTTGATGAGGAAACATTATACTAGAGATCAGAAAACAGCAGAATATGGTCCCTTTAGTAATATATAATAAGAATAATTGGTCTACAGTGTCTCAATCAACCAGAATTTGTATTTGGCAACTAATCATTATATTTAGATCATAAAAATGTGTATGGGACAGCAGCAAGAAGGAGAAGCTAGTGAGTGATTTAGCTGAACATTTGGTGTTATTTGGTATTTATTTGTTAAAAAGGCAGTAGTGTTTTTTTGCATAAATAGTTTTTTGCCTGAACTCTCTTGTCTCTTGAGTCTTGTTGGTGCAGTTTGGGTCAGATACATAGAAATACGTAATAGTTTTGAGGACTGTTGCTGCCACGCCCCCTTTTTAATCACCCCCTTTTTAGGATTCTGAATCTCAGTGAGAATTCCTGGTAAAAATAAAATAATGGAGCGGCAGGGCATGTTTTTAATCGACTTAAGCCCGACTGTAAACTAGGGATGTCTATAAGTACTATTATTTGCTTTTAATTACAATGAGAAGAAATATTTACATTTTTACAAATATTGTCACCGTGGAGGAAAAAAAAAATCACCTAACTTTAATTGACACAAGGTTCAAAAAATGTAAAGGTTAATTTGCAGATTTGCAGATTACAGTCAAATCAGCATCATTTCTTCTAAAATCCTTACCTTGTATAAATTATCCTTTTAAAACCATTATTATTTACTTTATTAAGATTTCATGATTAATTGTATTTTAACACTGTAGTTTGAGCAAATCTCTTTGTAAGAACATTTAAGTCTCCTCAGTTATCTTAGGATATTGTGGTTGCATAAGTAAACATTTAGACTTTTCATCTTTGCTGCACGTTAAACCAGACTGACCTACACTAGCAGACAAATCTTGGACACACCTTCTCATTCAGTGTTTATTATTATTATTTTTTTTTAAGTAAAGTAAAAGAAAAAATAACTCTACTATGTGTGTTTTCTCCAAAACAAAGAGTGACTACTTTTAGTATTTGAATATATTTTCTCTATATAAAAAATCGTATTAGGGTTGATGTTATGTAAAGGTGCATTGTGAAACCTTTCCATTGGAGGGTCCATCACACGCTTGTCTCCATGGAGATGTTATTGTTTTGCCTAGAACAGGGTGTCCAAACTTTTTTCATCAAGGGCCACATATGTAAACACAGATGAAGCAGAGGACTGATCGAGGGCTGTTGACTGATGCTCAATATAGTGAAGTAATTGAACTATGTGCATCTTTAACACGTTAGAATGAATCATCAGTCTTTATTCATGCTAAGATCCTCAAAACCACATACTAAATATTCAATATTCATTGTATCAAGGGAGATTTTCAAAAAAATTGCCGTAAAAAGTTAATGTCTAATTGATGCCTGTAATTTGGGCCAATTCACATGCAAGACTGTGGGCCAAGAAAAATTTGTCTGAGGGCCGCATTTGGCGCACGTATTACTGTACATTGAACAGTTCCATCTAGCATTTATTCATTACAGGTGTTTCTATTGCCCAAAAACGCAATGATTCCTTCTGTGAATAGAGGCGACTCTCCACAGATCTGAACTGTAATGTTGCATAGTGCTGTAACCTGCTTGTCTTCCCGTGATAGATACAGGTTTAATCTATACTGTGGAACAGGTTAGACAATACAATTTCCATGGACACAAGCAAACACTCCACTAGAAATGTTCCACAGTGCTCCTTTAACTTTCCATATATTTTACTTCATGTATTTGATGTTTTCTGTAAATAAAATATAGAAGGTCATTGACTGAGATGGTGTGTCCAAACTTTTAACTGTTATTGTATATGACGTAACGTTAAAAGTGAAAAAAACAAACAAATGTGTAACACCGTCAGATGTCCAATGTCCCAAACCTTTTTTTTATTTTGTTTCTGCAAAAAGTCTTTGGCAGATCATTTTCTTGCTTTGGACCACAGCATTTTTTTTTCTTGCTCTACAAGAACATTGTTGTGTGTTTTCTGTTTGATTTGAGTGTACATAACCTTAGGTTAACCTCAGGTCATGACCACTTTAGTTTGTAGATAAGGCAGGTTTTATCCATAAGTATCAGCATTTGAGAGACTGCACTATCTCTATAAATGTAGACAGGATGTGATCAGTTCCTCTTGTATAACGATAACTCAACAAAAAGCTCAGTCTGGGGTGTTCTTTTTCCTTTTAATACCACAGGTCATATATTCACATAATAATTTCCCTACATTGAAGTGATGACATGTTCATATTTGAGTCTCAAAGAGGTCACTTTTATTATTATAATGTTTATTTTCCCTATATTCTGTATTTTAAATTGACTACAAACTCACTGTCAACCTTTTTTTTTTTTAACCATGGACCTATAAGAGATCAGTGTATTCCCATTTTGTACCGGTGTGTTATAGGATTTTGACCCAGCGGTGAAGTGACCCCGGGGTCAAAATCTGCCCCCCCAATATGTTTATTATAGTTATTATGATGTAAAGTAAGAAGTAATGTTAGTTGAATATTGGCAATGATCAAATATGGGGGTTAAAAATACTATCTCACTCTGGTCTATCTCTTTTATCTCTAGCTGCCAACACCAGCCATACACTAAATTTTTATTATTCCAAATTGTTAAGTCTGTCCTTCTCTCACTAATTCAAGGTTCAAATTTCCAACAGATGTTTGCTTTGTGTCTGTAATTGTTAGAGTTTATTGCTTAATGCTAGATAAATAAGATAAAAGGCTGGCGTGTTTGTCTACAAGTTGAAGTTAAAGTTTTGTGGTGTGTTTTACGGCGCGTTCCCAGGCCAGAAGCAGGTTTGTAGTCATTTCTGTTGCATTGACTCAGTGTTACCTGTGGCTCTGTGGGGGAGAAACTGGAGAGGAGGCTGACGCACACTCACACATGCCCTGCTCACTTTGTCCTAGTGTTGTCACGGTACTAACATTTCAAACTAGATTTCAGTACTAAGGAATAGACGCAATACTCAATATAGACACCACAAAGATAATAAAAACAAACAGAATGTGATTTTCGACATTCAATGGCTCAGATTACACTTCCTCATCACAAACAGACCTGGAGTTGTGTTTTGTTTCATTCACACGTTTAACACACAAATTCTTACATATTTAGGCTGAGCTCTTCTCTAAACTGACAACGCTGTTCCACTTTGTGATGGCATGTGGTAAAACAGGAAGTGCTCCACGGTGTTTTTAAACTCTATTCACCTTCACTAGAATCATTTGGATTATTTCCGTTCTAGAATTGCCGGTTTCTACAGTACTAAAGGTAAAAGGTAGTTGTTAACTTGAAAACTACAGCTTCATGACATCATAAGGTGGAACAGAGCATTTTGTGCTTTAGAGATGGAGACAAACTACCGTATTTTTCGGACTATAAGTTGCTCCAGAGTATAAGTTGCAACAGACAAAAAATTTGTAATAAAGAAGAAAAAACATATATATGTCGCACCGGACTATAAGTGGCACATAACTCTCCATCTCACTCCAAATCACTTAATCCATTGAATTCTTCATCCTCGGTGTCACTTCTGCACTACCTCCAGAGGTAAACCATAGATCCATGAGGTAAACAGAGCGCCGCTTCTTCTTCTGTGTAGCTGTCGTCAGACTCAGCATCAGTTCCAGTTAGAATTATTCAGGCCTTTCTGAATCCCGACAGGATAGTTTTGATTGTCACTGTAGTTCAGGATTTGTCTGTTCATCCAGTGACTTCCAGGAAAGTTTCATGGTGCACTCTCCTGGTTGCCGTGAAGCTGCTTTCTCCATCCTCGCTTTCCACCAGTCAATCACAAGTTTCTCGCTTCCTTCAAACTTTCTTTCTGCTGCTCGATTACAGTTTTGGTTGAATATTTCCATATTTGCAGCGAGACAACAGCTGTTTCTGCAGGAGACATGTGCAGTAGAGCAAAGTGACAGTGGTACAGGAGTAACAGGAGCAGCAGATACTCACACACAAGCCTAGAGCCTCTCGCAGCTTCAGTGTGAAAATGTTAATATATAAGTCACACCGGAATATAAGTCGCAGGAATCACCCAAACCATGAAAAAAGTGCCATTTATAGTCCGAAAAATAAGGTAATAAACAATTACTCAAACATGTGTGAATGAAACAAAACATTAAAGTTCACAAGAATCAAGTTTGTGTATAACAGGACCTTTTAAATTATAGTACTTTCTTTTATAGTCTTACATCTTGTGAATGTGACTTTGTCAGTATCGATACCTGCTAAACTGAGTATCTAGTTTTAGTTTATATTACTATCTGATTTTCAATACTTTTTACAACCCTACTTGGTTCACTAAAGCCCTTACAGCTCTGGAGCTCTGTGACTCAAACAAAACTGTAATTTAAGTCCTGTCCCAGCACAGTAATAACAGCCCTGAGCCCTGCAGCCCTGAGTCTGTAGTAGACTTTAATAGTGTGTTCTACATCCTCTGTGCTGATGTCATTGGTATTCCATTGTTTAATATAATACTACATTCAAAAATGGAACCACTGCAGTTGCTGACACATGAGTTTTGAATTCTATCTAGCATTAAAGGTGCATTGTGTCACTTTTCTGGTCTGTTAAATGCTTTTCTCCACGGAGATGTTATTCCTTTGTCTGAAATGTTTCACAGTATGGCATTAAACCTTTCTATCTTCATGGAGACCAAACCAGACCAAGTTAAAGGTCAGATTTGTGGAGAGACAACCTCACTCACAGACAGAATGCCTGTTTTTCTAGGTATTTTTGAACTGTAAAACCATGTGTAATTAAATAAATGTAAAGAAGAGCTGTTTAATGTCATACTGTGGAACATTCCAGACAGAGCAGTGACATTTCCATGGAAACAAGCAGGTGATGGACCCCCAACCAAAGAACTGCATAGTGCACTTTAAGCAATAAGTTCTAAGTTTTCATCTGGTGTATGGCCAAGGTTAGTACTATATTACAAAAATGGTTGGTAGAGCTGTCGACCAAGAATATATTAAAAATCTTTAAGAAATTCTTGGATGATGACAAAAATGAACAAAAAAACATTGCATTTTATTGGATTTATGTGAAAACAAAAAGCCTTGACAAGACTTTGGTTCTGTCATAATCCAAAGACCTAATATAACGGCATTATTGTGAGACTTTTGATGATACGATATTACGATATTTGGGTTATTGTTACATCCCTACATTTTACACAAAAAGTAGTTCTCAACTCTGCTAACTCTGCAACTTCTTTTACTGACAGAGGATTGTCTGTGGTTCTGTCATAATCCGAAAACCTAACATTTAAAAGAGCTTAAGAACGGGTATTTCTTCATGTAGTCTGCATTTAAACAGAGCAAAGCATCATGGTCTATGTAGTTCCCTCTGCTTAAATTCATTGTTACAGTGTAATATATTGTGATGGCCCTCGATATTATTGTGAGATTAACTAGAATTATGATATTTCGGTTATTGTTACATACCTACATTTTACACAAAAAATAGTTCCTTCAAAGTCTCAGCCCTGCTCCGAATCAGCTTGTTTTACTGACAGAGGATCGGCTGTGGACCTCTCCATTCAAAAGACCCGAGCAGATCATTGACAGTTATAAATGACTGGATCGTGATTAAATATTGATTAATTGCGAAGGCCTGTTTGCAGTTTTATTTTATTTATTGAACTTGGACCACGATCCATTTCCCAGCATGTCTTTGTTCCACAGACATCGTTTCTGTAAGCAAATTAGGGCTGCGAGATTAACTGCAATCAAATGCAAATGATCCTTTCAAACTCCTTTCAAAACATCCTGTGCCAACGCAGAAGAAGCGGCAACCCTCAAGTACCTGAGGCAACCTGCGCGCTACCTGATCTTTTACTTAAAGGTGTATTGTGTAACTTTACAGGCATTGCTCTGATTGGAATGTTTCACAATCTACCTTATATTTATTTAATTACAGGTGGTTTCACAGCTCAAAAATACTTCGAAAAACAGGCATTCTGACTGTGAGCAGGGTCGCCTTCCCACAGATCTGAACTGTAACTTGGCCTGGTTTGTTTTAATGCCACACTGTGAAACGTTCCAGACAGAGCAACAACATTTCCAAAGTTATTCCTCGCTTACCATAATCTTCACCACAATGACTTTATAAATGCTTTTCAAAACTTTCAGACAACAACTTCTAGCATCCTAACAGTGCACTTTCTGATTTTTGGACAGTAAAACTCTGTATAATTTGATGCAGACAGCCGACTTATTTCTACATCAAGAGCTACAATAGATCTGTACTGAGACAAAAACATTTTTGCATTTTCGTGTCTGAGTCCCCCCTCCCTTTATTCTCTGCTCCCTTACTCCCCCTTCAGAGCTTTTCGCTAATGAAACTACCGCACATCGCATCCGGTTTGTGAAGTTGTAGCGCATTGTTTTGCATCATGCTTTTGTATATTTATGGAGAATTGCCTTGTGGGCTGAGCTTTCGGACAGAATCGTACTGCTAACCAAAAGGAGGGTTCAAATAGGGCCTGGGAAAGATCGCTAAATTACTCAAACACGCATGGATGCTGACTAGGGGTGTGCAAAAATATTGAAATATTGATATGTCGTATTGTTTAATGTGATGATAGAGTATTGATATCATGGGCTGCTGTATTGATATATATATAAGAGTATTTTTTTAAGTATATTTTACTCATTGATTTTATTACAGCTCTACAGTTTTGTTGTTTGTTTAGAGGAAGGAAACTCATTTATGCAACATGTTTGACATTTTCACTGTTTTGATAATTAAAATGTTTGTGTTTCATATGAAATTTTCACAAGAAGTGGTTTAACAAAGACTTTTAATGTCACAGCCATGATTTAGACTTTATTTTTATTGAATTGAATATTGAATCGATTTGAAATATACTGTATTAAATCGAAGGTGCACTGTATTGAGATATGTATCGTATCATGGCCTACGTATCGTCTCGGCAACTTCTTAATGATACCCAGCCCTAATCATGACATTTAAAACCTCTTCAGGCATGTTTCTGATGAGGAAACAAGATTATAACATCACAGAAAGCTCCATAAAGTCAATTTTGCACAGTACCCCGTGTTTAAAGATGTCAACAGGATTCCATGAACACCTCTGGAGAGTTTGTGTCCTACATCGGCACCTTGAGCTCAAATCAGAACCTGTTGCATTCACTTTGTAACGGTTTTTAAACTCCGGTTGATCTCATTTCCCTTCAGGGCTCTTCTGACACGCAGGGTACTTTCCGGGTGTAATAAAGTTTGAAATCAAAGGCAGAGCTGTGGAGGCTGAAGTGTGATTTGGCTGCGCGCTTTGCTCTGCCACATGACTTTGAGGAGAGGTCAGTGTGTCCAGTAAACTCCAAACAAAGAGGTAGTAAAGACGGGGTATTAAGCAAAATCAACTTTCTGGAGCTTTTTCTGCCATGTTGTGATGTTCCCTCATCAGAAACATGCCTGAAGAGATTTTATATGTCATCCATGCATGTTTGAGTAATTTAGCAATCTCTCCCAGGCCCTATTTGGACCCTCATTGCAGTTAACAGTACGATTCTGTCCAGTGCTCAGCTCACAGGCCTATGTCAGCCATGCTCCCACACAGCAAATGCATGATGATCAAAAACTTCCTCTCCTTTCTGTTGTTGTCCCATATAAATCCTTATGACCTAAATAAAATAATTAACCGACTCATACAGATTTTGGTTGTCCAAGACCGTCTGAACCATCTGAAGCTCTGTTACTCAAATTCGACTTTAATCTGATCTTTGTTTTAACATAATCTGATCATAAACAACTGATTTATCTGAACTCTGTGAACTGATTCGTCCCTGTCAAATAACATTACAATTACAAGCTCTCAGTCACTCTCATCATTTTTGTTTAAAATCTAACTCCTAAACAGGACCATGAACGCTTGTATTGATCGCAGGCTCCTGAAAATGTGTTTAAATTAAATAAAATTGAAAACGGTGCCAGCAATATATTTCATTTTTGGCACTGTTTGTTAATGTGTGTGTATGTTGTGTCACCATGGTACCCGCTGAACATTCCATCATACACCTACATGTTGAACACCCCCCAAGCGTGATGTCACCACCAAAGTATTAATACCCTTTTGACTCGGACAGGCGAGGGAGCGCGTCGGGAGGAAATGCCGACTGGACGCGGGCTTCCGTATGTCATGGAATGCTGCTGATAGGCTTTAAAGGGCCGCTCGGACACAACACAATGACATTCCTCTGCTTTCTATGAATGCACTTTTCCATGTGCTCACTTGGACTTCACTTCCATATAAGGGCATGGGGCTGTTGTTTACACGGTGTGCGTAACAAATAACTACATAATTATCATCGAGGGGTGTTTAAGTTCAATAGGGCTAAGGGGTCATTATTGATGTAATAAGTGACATTTGTTTTGCCCCAGTACAGATGTACTGTCAATGCAGCTCTTACGGTTAAATTGAGGCTGCTTTGTTCTGTCTGCATCTGTTTATAAAGCATATAAAACATCTCAATGGACTGTATGTGTGTTTTTAGCATGCTAGTTGTTGTTAGCGTTACTGTGATGGCAAAACTTTTAAAAACTCATCGAGGTGAAAATTATGATGAACATGAACTGCTGAAATGGTTCGACCTGAGTAAAAATTGCATATGGACGGATTATTTGTTTATCAGCACAGCGGATGTGAGTGCAGAAAGCGCCACTGTCTGTGTGCTTAACATGAAGTTATAACGTTAGCTCGCCATGCTGTCAGAACCATGTGATAAAATAAGTTATTAATGAGTGGGATCTGTCTTAATGACCCGTATGCGTTATCCTGATCCATACACCTAGCCCCGCCCTTGGGAGAGCCTGAAATCTGCTGAAATCCTACAAGACACTGACATGATACAGAAAGGACAGAGACTCTTTCTGCAGGAGACATGCACAGTAGAGCGTTCATTCTTACTCCATAATACTGATTCACTGCTGAAGTAAAAGGTTGTTTAATTTCTACATTTTTTCCAAATCATTTTACTTTACTTTTACATTTGTTTTGTTTTTTGAGTTCAGCTAATAGGTTTTTGGGCATATTTTGGTACTGCATAGTATTGTCTGAATTATCAGAATCCTATGTGTTAAGAGTGTTAAGGCATTATTTTTGTCAATATCGCACACCCCCTTACACTGAACCAGAGCGATTTCCCTTGAGTCATACTGTATAAATAAGTACTAAACTGTAAACCTCTGTGTGTGTGTGTGTGTGTGTGTGTGTGTGTGTGCTCAGGACCGTAAGCTGCTGGCCACAGCGCAGCAGATGCTCCAGGACAGTAGAATGAAGATCGAGTTTATCCGAATGCAGATCCTTAAAGCTACTCAGACCAACGAGCTGAGCTTTGACACATCACATCACAGTGAGTGTTCACATGTGGTGTTCACCATCACAGTGTTCACCATCACAGTGTTCACCATCACAGTGTTCACCATCACAGTGTTCACCATCACAGTGTTCACACATCATCACAGTGTTCATCACATCACACAGTGTTCACAGTGTTCACATCACAGTGTTCACCATCACAGTGTTCACCACCATCACAGTGTTCACCATCACAGTGTTCACATCACAGTGTTTCACATCACATCATCACACTGTCACCATCACACTGTTCACCATCACAGTGTTCACCATCACAGTGTTCACCATCACAGTGTTCACCATCACAGTGTTCACCATCACAGTGTTCACCATCACAGTGTTCACCATCACAGTGTTCACCATCACAGTGTTCACCATCACAGTGTTCACCATCACAGTGTTCACCATCACAGTGTTCACCATCACAGTGTTCACCATCACAGTGTTCACCATCACAGTGTTCACTATCACAGTGTTCACCATATCACAGTGTTCACCATCACAGTGTTCACTATCACAACCAAACTGTCATGTTCAATATGGTGTATGATAGACTACATGGCAATAAAATAATTTATAATATTCAGGAATAATGTTTTCTACAAAGCCTTGTTCACACAATAAATTATTTAATTAGTGTTGTTTATAGATAAAATAGTTAAAATTATTAGCAAGAAATGATTGATTGTATATTTTCTACATTTGTTGATCTTTCAATTAAAAAATATATAAGTAACCAGATTCCTTTAATGCTAATTCATTATACCCTCTGCAATGTTTAATACACATTTCATACTTCACTTCACACTTGGGAACCGCTCTTCTTTTTGTCTTCAGACAAACCGTTCATCAGCCCTCTGGACCTCCGTGTGGAGGAGCTGTGTCACCACGCCCGGATTGAATCCGCTGTGGCCGAAGGAGCCAAGAACGTCATGAAGCTCCTGGGCACTGGGAAAGTCACAGAGAAGAAGGCACATTCAGAGGTATTGTCCCGTATACACATCACGCTATACACATCATGCTATACACATCATGCTATACACATCACATTGTACAGATCACACTGTACAGATCACACTGTACAGATCAAACTGTACAGATCACACTCAAGTCACACAGAAGTCAATTGCAACCAGAGCTCAAAGGAACCACTTTACATCCATGCTCACTTCCTATTTGCAACACAGCAGCTAGCACATTCGCTCTGTCCATTTACATATACAGTCTATGAATACAATACTACACACATATAGACAGTAATGTCCCTCATGCACCCCCCTCTCTCCTCCAGGCCCAGGCCCGGTTCAATGAGTCCAGTCAGAAGTTGGACCTGCTGCGTTACTCTCTGGAGCAGCGTCTGAACGAGCTCCCAAAGAACCACCCGAGCAGCGCAGTCATCATGGAGGAGCTGTCTCTGCTCTCTAGTCCGGCCCTCAGCCCCCGCTCCAGCTTCATTTCCACACAGAACCAGTACAGCACCGTCACCAAGCCCGCCGCTCTCACAGGTACAATGCACACTTTTAAAGAGTTTATTTTATGTATTTAGGCTTTAAAGGTCCTATATTACACAGAACACAAATGTGACCTCATCATAAAAGTCCCTGGAGTTGTGTTTTGTTTCATTCACACATGTTTGGGTAATCCTGGATTATTCAGTTGTCTGTATCCCCAAAGATCAAAATGCTCCTTGTGATGTCATGAAGTAGCAATAGCTTTTACCTTTAGGTCAGTAGAGATTGGAAATTCCAGGGATGAAATTGTACAAATGATTCTAGTGAAAGTGTATGAAGTTTAAAAATACAGTGAAGTATTTCCTGTATTACCACTCAGTGACTTCACAAGGTGGAACAGTGTTTTCTGTTTGAGAGAAAAACTCACCTCCAAGTATGAGGAAACAACATAACAAAGATCAATCCAAAATAGTTCAATATAGGCACTTTAAAGAAGACTTGAGTCTGCTATGTAGTTGTTCATTGTTATAATTTGGACAATTTAAATCTCAATATTGATCTAAAACAACACAATAAAAGAAACAAGTCAGCTGTTTAACTGTTTGGGTGTAGCTTTTGCCACGCCACATTTTTAGTCACTACTGGATTGGGTTAGGGTAGGGTTAGGGTTAGTCAGCCATGAATTTCTTCAGTCGACTGTAGCCCTAGTATGGAATAGGATTTACTTTCATTCACGCGTGCTGAAGTAATACTGTAGGAAATGTTTCCATACATAGGCTATTTATAGCTGTGAAATATAAAACACCAATGCACAAATGTCCTCCAAGTATTTTAAACTCAACCATGACACCACTCTGACCTTTTATATTAACAGATGAACTGCTTTCAATGCATGATAGATAGAACAGGAATTTTTGGGGCTCAAAATGTATCATGGTTACATTTTCTTTGTAAAAGTGTGAAGATTTGGGGTATTTTTGTTGTAATACAAAAACATTTGAGCTGTAAAAGGTTGAATATGTAACTTCTGTGGCTAAATTATTGCCGTATTCATGCTATTTAATGATATTGACTATTTTAAAATGGTTTACTGGAATTATCTTGCTTTATTGTTACTGTGACAGAGGCATAAAGTAGTTTCAGTATTATCGTTTATCACAGTATAGCTCTGTACAAATATACTGGGCTTCAAAATTTGTTGTCATGATAGCAGAGATACCTCCACTTTTGTGTTTTCATCTCAGTGGCATGAATTTGTTTCTATATTCGTCTATCGTCTATATTTTCTTCAGCTTTATATGGTACTTCTAAATGTGTGCTGTTATGTTATGGTGACAGGCTCATGTTTCGTCCACAGGGACCTTGGACGTGAGGCTCATGGGCTGTCAGGATCTGTTGGAGAATGTTCCGGGTCGGTCCAAAGCCGCCTCAGTGCCTCTGCCCGGGTGGAGCCCCAGTGAGACCCGCTCCTCCTTCATCAGCAGAGCCAATCGCAACCGCAGTGTCAGCTCGCGAAACCTCACCAAGAGCGATGAGCTGTCCAGTGAGTGACACTGTACACCAGCACAACATTCACAACTATCACAACAATCACACCCGTCACAACAATCAGAACATTCACAACAATCACACCCGTCACAACAATCAGAACATTCACAACAATCACAACCGTCAGGACAATCACAACATTCATAACAATTACAACTGTCACAACAATCACACCAAAACACAATCACAATTATCACAGCAATCAGAAATTAAAACAGAAACTATCACAACTGTCATAACAGTCTCAACAGTCACAACTATCACAGGTAACATAGTCAACATTAAAACCAGTTTCCCGTTTCAACCGATCAGTATCAAATATTCATCATGGCATTCCACCTTTTCCTGAACGCTTTCAACTGTCACCACAATCGCAACCGTCACAACTATCACCACAGTCACAACAATCACAACCGTCACATCAATCACCACAATCACCACAATCACAACGTTCATAACAATTACAACCGTCACAACAATCACAGCCTTCACAAGAATCACGGTCTTCATAACTATCACAACCATCACAACAATCACAACAATCACAGCCTTCACAACCATTACAACAATCGCAACAATCACATCAAAACAGAATCACAACAGTGACGCCAAAGCACATCAATCACAACAATCACAATGATCAAAACTATTACAGCTGTCATAACAGTCACAGGTAAACACAAGTCAACATTAAAACCAGTTTCCCGTTTCAACCGATCAGCGTCAAATATTCATCGTGACATTCCACCTTTTCCAGCAAGAGCCGTTACAGATTGAAATGTGTAGAACTCAATTCAGAGAGTTACACATATCACTCTGGCGTGAGTCAGGTCAGATTATTTTACCTCAACATGTGAATTACAAACTGTCATACTCAAATCCTTCTCACATTTCTCAGTGTCACTGGTTGTAATCTTTTGCTTTATTGGCTTGACACTACAACAGTATCACAAACACATTTTCCATTTATTTAATTTTTTGGGGCTGTATACCAACTGTGTACCTGTTCTGTAGTAATATTATATTTCATTGCATTTCTCCAGATGAGATCAGTGCGGTGCTGAAGCTGGACAACACGGTGGTGGGTCAGACGAGCTGGAGGCCGGTCAGTAACCAGGCCTGGGACCAGAAGTTCACCCTGGAGCTCGACCGGGTAAGACCCACACAGAGGAACATGAGGGCAGGATACACAGCAGAATACTCACACGTGTACTTGTCTGTGCGTGTAGTCTCGGGAGCTGGAGATCTCTGTGTACTGGAGGGACTGGCGGTCGCTGTGTGCTCTGAAGTTTCTGCGTTTGGAGGATTTCTTGGACAATCAGCGTCACGGGATGTGCCTTTACCTGGAGCCACAGGGCATGCTGTTTGCAGAGGTATACAAAAACTACTAAAACATTAAATGATGTGGTTATTACATTATTATTATTTTTAATAATTGTAAAAATGTTTTCAATTTGAAGTTTTACCATAGAACTTTATAAATAGACTAAAATACCTTGAAAATACCTTGAAAAACATGATCAGGCTCACCTCTGATGTGAGCTGACTCATAACTTGTTGATGTCTTGGCTTAAAGCACTATCATTACGATGTATTATTTCATTTAGATTATCCACTTCAAAAAAATTACATCGCTGGTGTATAGTTTCAAAGTTTTTTTAAGTCTGCTTTTTGTTACTATAATTTTGAGACACAGCATTAAATTCAATCCATTTTATTTTTTTGTATATATGTGTATGAACATATATGAAGCTTTCGTTTCACTTGTTTCTAGGTGACATTTTTCAACCCAGTTATTGAGAGGCGGACGAAGCTTCAGAGACAAAAGAAAATCTTCTCTAAGCAGCAAGGTCTGTCCCTGCTTACCGGTTTTCCCGCCCACTTCATTTTCCTCTAAACAGAATTCCCGAAAATCCAAATGTTTCTTTTGTTTTGTTTCTCAGGTAAAACGTTCCTGCGCGCTCCTCAGATGAATATAAACATCGCCACATGGGGCAGGCTGGTGCGCAGAGCCATCCCCACCGTCAGCACCAACTCCTTTAGTCCTCAGGCAGCGGAGAGCGGGCACAGCAGCCTCCCCGGCTCGCCCACACCATGCAGGTACTGGCACTGACACCCAAATCAGACATTAAAGTGCATATTCATCCTATACGTGTACATATAGCTCAATAATGCCTGCACATCACTTGGTCTCTACATTATTTGTCCATTGACTTTTCAAAAACGTGTATGATAAAGGTTTAAAAGGTTGTTTATAGACTCTGCCAAGAAGCTTAACTCATCATCATAAATCTCCACTTGTAACCTGACCAAAACATGCAGGATGAATGACAAAATCAGAATTGGCAAATTGCAGGCTTTAGTAATAAAAAAAAACTATAACATTTTAGTTGTGCATATGCTAAATACCCCAATATGTCCTCAAAATGTTCAATATTTTAAGTCATACTGATATTTGAAAAGTTATTAAGACTTACATTTTATAACGCTTTGCTCCCCCATGTCCAAATTGCCCCACAGTGGAGTGTTATGTCTCGTCTTAAGACCCACTTTTATTTTCTGGCTTTTAACACCGCGTGAGTTCTGTGGTCCTCTGCATCTTTTATTTATTTTTATATTTTTTACCTACCTTTACGTACTTTTAATTATTTATTGGTATTCTTGCTCTTTAATGATTGATTTTACTAGTTTTATTGTCTTAACAAGGACTAGTGGAGTTAAGTAGAGCTTTATTTTGTATTTCTATTTGATATGTTTTATTTTTATTGTGCAGAGCTTTGGAAACTGTTTTCTTTATGAAATGTGCTATAAAAATAAAATGGATTGGATTGGATATTTGATGTGACAGTTATGGAAATTCATGTTATGGTTATTGCCCATAACTATCAAGACTTGCAAATGGATGGCAACATTTTGTAGTACTTGCCACCTTTTTTTTTTATTTAGAAAATAAATGTGAAAAATTAAATTTGATTTTAAAATGTGGTATTAAAACTTCCCAAATTATTCTGTGATAGACCATCCCCTAAAACTGCATTCAACTCTGTACTAATGACCATGCCCCCTCCTCAGTGACCCTCTGGTGACCAAACTGGACTTCGACAAAGAACCGAGCCCAGGACCCAAGCGCCGGCCCAGCCCCGAGGACGAGCCTGAGCCGCTCCAGAGCCTGGTGCAAAAAGTGCCTGACAAAGAGGAGGTGCAGGTACTCTCTGTTTACATGAACGTGTCAGTTAGTGTAAGCACTGGCAGCAGCAGTCTAAATCCAGACTCTATTCCCGTAAGACCCACCGCACTGGCCCTGATACAGCCGCTGACACTGGACCTGATACAGGGGCTGACACGGGCCCTGACCCCTGACTCAGGCCCCTGACACACTGGCCCTAACACAGTGTGGGGTTTGAGGTTTTGATTTGAACCGCTGTCCGCTGCTGAACTGTTATAAACGAAGATAAATCATAGGGAATGCTCGCTCAGAGTATCATTTTAGACTGTTTAACAAATATCTGTGATGCCCTCCAGTCACATAACTCAAGTTAGCAACGTTGGTAAAGCAGTCAGATCCACTGAAGCACAGAATGGGTTTCGATTCCAGCTCCAACAAATGCTCATTATTGCTGTGTCCTTGGGCAAGACACTTAACCCGCCTTGCCCCGAGAGTCTGTAAACCGGTGAATAAATGTTTGTGTGTAGTATTTTGAGTGCTATAAATGTGGCTATTCATAAATCTTTCTTAAGAAAAGTTAAAACACTTCATTTTGATGGGAAATAAACTTACTTTTCTAAAACACTTTGATGTTCAGTGGAGTTTCCTGGTTGTGTGCAGGACGCACTCGCCTCGTTCGACTTCCTGAACCAGAGGAACAGCGTCGCCGTGAAGCCCGACCTGGACCTCAACCTGGACCAAGATGATCCACACCAAGACCTGCAGCTCTCCTCCATCCAGAAGGACCAGGAGATTAGGTACAGGAACTGAACTTCTAGACACATCTGGTGCTGTCACGACACAATACCATTTCCAATTCTATGATGATTAAAAGCACTATATTTACACAATATAATCTTATTTTAAATCTTAGTACTTTCTTTTATATTACTGTTTGGCCTTATATGTGTGTAATCCTGCAGTGGTCCAGGTAGGTTCCATAGTGTCCATGGGAGTGCTTTAATCTATGTGTTCTTATACTTGTTCTGATACAGCTCAACATCATTCTAAAGCTTATTAGGGAGAACTTAATTCTGTCCCGTGAATGTGACTTTTTAGTATTGGTCCTTGTTCAAATAAGTATCTAGTTTGAATACTTCTAACTACTCTAGTTACTTCATTTAGTATCAGATTTTCAATACATGTGATAAATACCATGAGGCCAAACTGAACACACTGATAATATTTTACTATGAGAGTTCAGTATTATTCTGTTCATAAAAATACTAAGAAACAAAGAACTGACTGGAGAAGGTCGAAAACTTGAAGCCAGTGTGTCTGCGTTTATCAGCTGGCCTTGGTTTTAGCTGATACTCAAATCTGTTTCCAGAAAGATCTTTTTTCTCCACACAATCACTTTTTCTGTTGTCTTAAGTCTCAAGGTTTACTTTGTGAAAATGCTTTGGTCCTCCCTGAAAAAAGGAAATACTGCCATCTAGCTGTAGAGATTAGATTACGTCAACACAGGTCAGTGCAGGTATTGGTTAGAGATCATTTGTTACACTTTATACTTAATTCTTGACACTTTACACTTCCACTGCCAGTCAAAGGTTTGGGCACACTTTTTCACTTATCGTATTTTCTGCACTATAGTTCACTCTGGATTATAAGGTGCACTGTCATTGAATGGTTTATTTTCAAACTTTTTTTCACATATAATGAGCATTAAATGAAACACAACAGTTAGATAAGTCAGTCAAACTTGATTTAATGCGTTCACAATAACTCTCAACTTTGTTCAGTTTAACACGTAAAAAAAAAACTGAGACTCTAAATTGTTCGTGTATTCACAATAAGTCATAATAGTTCAAACAGTTGGGTGATTACAGCGTTCAGCACGTCCACATCCCTCTCGTCATTATCCGAGTCTGTGTGGTTACTGTTCCCTGGAGTTCAGTTCACTGATGATTCTGGTCTTGGTGAAAGCTCGGACCACAGTTGATACTGATCCTTAGTCCAGGCGTCCACGATCCATTGGCAGATCGTGGTGTAAGTCGCTCGGCGCTGTCTCTCTGTCTTGGTGAATGTGTGTTCTTCTCTCATCCACTGCTCCCACGCAGCTCACACTTTCACTTTATAAAAGCCTTGAGTTTAAAGTGGGTGTTGTAAGTGTGTCTCTTGACAGGTGCATTTTGATATTAAAAGGAATCACAGTATGTATTACTCCTGATGCTCCTGACTACAGGAGCCGTAATGCTGCAAGTGGTGCGACTTTGTAGTTTACTAAAGTCGTACTAAGACACCCCAATAAATTCATATATAAGGCACTCTGGATTATAAGGCATACAGTCGTTTTTTGGTGAAATTAAAGGCTTTTAAGTGCGCCCTATAGTGCGGAAAATACGATATGTTGTTTCATTGTTTCTATGATTATTTACATTCTCGATTCTCATTGTAGGCATCAAAACTATGACTTAACACACACGAAATACAGTAAACAAAGATAAACTCAGAATAACTCAAAACTTGTTTTAGATTTTTTGATTATTAAACATATCCACCCATTGCTTTGAACCCTGGTTTTTGATATGTCTTGACTCTGACAAGGCACAAATATGAAGTGAAAACTGTTTCAGGAGAGAAGTCCAGGGGTTCATGGCACTGTCAAGAACGCAATGGGTGGCTACTTTGAGGATTTCAATTTAAAATATATCAATTATCACTTTTTTTCTTTGCTACATAATTCCATACATCTTACTTATCTTACTTATTTTACTATATTTGATGTATTTATGTAAAATGTCAAACGTAGTAGACCTTGAATGAAAAGGTCTGTCCAGACTTTTGACTGCTGCTGTATCTAACTTATCCTTGGTGTGGCACTATATTTGAATCATCATCTTTTAATAAAATGTCTTTATTTATGTTCATAGGGAAGAGGAGCAGTTTCACTTCAGTCTACAGGATTTCAAGTGTGTGGCAGTGCTTGGACGTGGACACTTTGGGAAGGTCTGTTTTATCTTATTTAAAAAATCTTAAATATAAATGGTTGTAGATTGTTTTAAATATGAGGATTATGATTGTCTAAACTGTTCCCTGTTTTGTTTAGGTGTTGTTAGCGGAGTACAAAGCCACAGGGGAGATGTTCGCCATCAAAGCTCTGAAGAAAGGAGACATCGTGGCTCGAGATGAAGTGGACAGGTCAGTGCTGCAGCTTTTTAGTTCTTCTCTTCCCCACATAGAACTGCTTTTACAGATCAACCAATAAAAGCTTTATTTTAAATGTTAATGCCTAGGAGTGTAACAATATCCAAGTCTCACAGTACGATATTGTCACGGTATGAACCTCACAGTACGATATTTATTGCGATATCGTGAAAAAGCTCACGATATGGTGGGGAGGCTCATGATTAGGGATGTAACAATATTCAAATCTCTGTACGATATTTATGCAATATTTTCACAATATACCTCACAGGACGATATTTATTGTGATATTTTGTGGAGTTTAACAAAACTACCTCTTAAAATGCCTTGACAAGACTTAATCCAAAGAACTAAGACTTAAAAGTGTTAGAACTGTTATTTCTTCTTGTAGTCTGCACTGAAATGGAGCAAAGGATCATGGTCTATGTAGTTCCCTGTCTTTTTTAACTATTGCTGCATCATAACTCTTCATTTAAGCACTTGTAAATTGTTTTATTGTGATGGTCCACGATATTATTGTTAGAACTGTTAGACTATTCGACAGCATGATATTTCGGTTATTGTTACACTCCTGTTAATGCCTAAAGCAGGGGTCTCCAACTTTTTTCCTCCAGCGACCTACTTTTACAAAATGAAAATGCCCGAGAGCTACTAGTTTTAGCAGCCACAAGAAATTTAGTATATGTAAGAGCCAGGGCGAACCTTAGTGGAAGTACAGTTACATGCCTATAAAACATAAACCTTTATCCACTTATTAGTGTACAAAGTTAGGTGTCAAAATGATACATGTACAGTGGTAAAAGGCATTTAATTAATCAAATTTTACTTATTCAGCACAATATGTATAATTCAGTAATCCCTTGGCGAGCTGCTTGGAAGGGAGTGAAGACGTTGGAGACCCCTGGCCTAAAATATATATATATATATATATTTTAGAATCTAGTGCTTTCCAGTGCTGATGATTCTTACCAGTATGTTGAGGCTGATATGTAGGGCAGATTTAGATCATTTTCTCCTAATGTTATTGTATGAATGTTTAGTGTGTACTGTAACAAATAAGTAAGAGCAATATCTATATTATATCTGGGATTTTTAGACATTTACAGTCACAGCTGTGTTTTATGCCAGTTATAGCAGTTTGTACGGTGCTTTTTCACTTTCTTGGTGAGTCAGCCCAGAAGAAGCGTCTGCCTAAATTGTCAAACCAGTATCCGATGTGCTTAAAAGGTGCTGAGCTGTTGTTTACTTTTTAATATTGTTTTTGACTGTTACATCACAATGAGAGTTTTGCACTATTGACACAAACATGGTAAATTTTTTGACATTATAGCATTTGGGAAGGAAAGATTGGGTACAGTTACATTTTTGATTAAACATCTACCTGTACTGTTACTAGTCATAAGTAAATTTACTCTCAGCATTGTACCCTCTTCCCCTGCCTCTCTCTGTCTAAACTACTTCACATTCATCTTGTGTAACCAAATCCCTCTCTTTCTCTCTCCTCCTCTGCCCCTCCTCAGCCTAATGTGTGAGAAGAGGATCTTTGAGACGGTGAACAGCGTGCGTCACCCGTTCCTCGTGAACCTTTTCGCCTGTTTCCAGACCTCAGAGCACGTGTGTTTTGTCATGGAGTACGCAGCAGGGGGCGACCTCATGATGCACATCCACGCTGACGTCTTCTCCGAGCCGCGTGCCGTGTGAGTGGAAAAGGGCTGGCAAAAGTATCGAGAATCAGATACTATGAAAACTAGATACTTGAACGGGTATCGGTGTTAGAAAAATCACATTCACAGGACCGAAAACAACCCTTTCTCAATAGATTTAGAATGATCTTGGAGTGAATGAGAACAACCTAGACCACTGAGGATTACGCAGCTATAAGGTCACATAGTAATATAAATGAAAATACATTATTATTATTATTATCATCATCATGGTATTGGAATCCGTATTGAGTATCAAGTTTATTTCTTAGCACTGAAATCAGGGTAACTGCGGGGTTTTAAAAAGGTCTTAAATTTCATGTTCCTAAATTAAGGCCTTAAAAAGTCTTACATTTTGTTGTCCAAGTCTTATATTTTCACAAAGGTCTTAAATTTCATTAGCCTATTTTTTTGTATGCTGTTCTCAACTGGGCTGCAGTGCAATGTTAAATGGAGGGAGGAAAAAAACAACATGCATGAACGTCTAATTTGGAGTATGTGCAAACAATACTTTGGTTTCTGAAGCCTGCGGCAACGAATAAACAATCAGTGGATCCTGGGGAAGTGTAGGTTTAATCCACAGTTAGTTAGATTCTGGATATAGTGGTTGGTCATTGTTAGAATTGGAGCTAGTGTTTTTCACCCGTATAATGAGTGCGATGTTGGTCTTAATTTTCATTTAAATGGTCTTAAAAAGGTCTTAAAAAAGTCTTAAATTTACCAATACATTCCGGCTTATGCTGGAGAAACTGTGGTGTGGTCAATGCTAACCACACACATAGTTTGGCAAAGTCCTAAATTGGATTTGTTTTGAAGGGAAGTTTTTCATGCCCTTAAAGTGTTTTTTAATCAACATATCCCATCTACCCAGTAGTAGCATTATTAGGAGCGTTACCTGCAAGTATCGGCACACGAGATGAAAAATACCTTTTGAATATTTTACTTACTGCTGCTTTAAAATGTATAACCATCAGATGGTTCAGAACAGATCCTTCCTCTTATAACATATGGATTCAGAAAGTATGGGATATATACCAAATGGAGCAGATAACCTATTCTTTAAGGATTCAAAAACCCATATTTATTAAGTTCTTGGAAACCTGTTTTGCCTCTGCTAATACAGTAGAGATGATATGGGACTTCTTTTATAACTGTCAGTGATACATAAAGAGTGGATGTTTAATTATTATTAATTATTATTATTATTTGTTACAAACTTATATTGTTTAAAAAAATTGAACTGTTTGCATTAATTTAAAATCATTGTAATATTGCTGAAAAAGAAAATAAAAATTAATAAAAAAAAAATTGGGGGTAGTCAAACCTGGGGATCCACTGCAAATAGAGTTTGAAGTGTTACTATCATGACAACATTAGAGTAGATTTGGCTTTATTAGTACAAAATAAAATGTGTCTTGTTGAATTTTTATTTTATCAAGTCTAATATGTGTGTGTTGTTGTTTTTTTCCACACAGGTTTTATGCCGCCTGTGTAGTGTTGGGATTACAGTTCTTACATGACCACAAGATTGTCTACAGGTAAAATTTTAAGTGTGTAATAAAAATGATTAGCTTTAAGATATATGTTACAATACAATAATAATAATATAGTAGTGTCTCACAATACTATATCATCAAGGTATGAACCTCACGATACAATATTTATTGCGAAATTGTGGGAAAGCTCATGATATGGTGGAGAGACTCACGATTAGGGATGTAACAATATCCAAATCTCTCTGTATGATATTTTCATAATACACATCTCACGGTATGATATTTATTGTGATATTTTGTGGAGGCTAAACAGCTTAAACTGTGAATGTTACTTTTTCCTCTTAAAATGCCTTGACAAAACTTAATCCAAAGAACTGAGACTTAAAAGTGCTTAGAACTGTTATTTGTTCTTATCATCTACACTATAAGTTGCTGCACCTTAACTCTTCATTTAAGCAAAGAGACTTGTAATTCGTTGGCCCATGATATCATTGTGAGAACTTTGATGATATGCTATCACAGTATTTCAGTTATTGTTACATCCCTAATAAAAATACAAGAATCACTCACATTTCAGGTCATGTTTGAAACTTGCAATATTTTTTCTATGAGAAAATAGGATATTTCGTTGTTTGTGGAGACCATTCTATTACCTAAATAAGATGTTATTTGTTTACAAGTAGCAACAGAAGACACATGACTAAACATGGCTTTGTAATGAAAAGAATCATACATGTTTTCTCATCACATAATTAGATTTTGTGGTAAAGATAGTCTTGTGTTGAGACCTGAGTGGTTTTAAGAGTCTGTTTTTGTGTGATATTTTCAGAGACCTAAAGCTGGATAACCTGCTGCTGGACACAGAGGGATATGTGAAGATCGCTGACTTTGGCCTTTGTAAAGAAGGTAACTCCACATGTTATTTCAATCTGGATATTTATTTTCTTCTTCTTTTTTTTGCACTAGAATCCTCATTTTTCTTTTATTCTAACAGCACTTTTCACAACTAGCACGCTAACAACACACTGGCCTCATTTCTTGGTTTCTAGATGATAAGAAATGCTTTATATTTGGCTGCAGACTGTACACAGTGGTCTTATTTTGACATCAAAAGCTGTGTATTTACTGGTGCAATACACATTTTATTTAATGACATGAAAAAATAACATACCGTATTTTACGCACTATAGGCGCTCTGGATTGAATGGTCTATTTTCGAACTTTTTTCACATATAAACCACACCGAACGCACCGAGACACATTAAACGAAACACAACAGTTAGATAAGTCAGTCAAACTTTATTTAACGCGTTCACAATAACTCTCAACTTAGTTCACTTGTAACGTGTAAAAAAATCCCGTCTGAGATGCTAAATTGTTCGTGTATTCACAATAAGTCATAATAGTTCAAACAGTTGGGTGATTACAGCGTTCAGCACGTCCACATCCCTCTCGTCATTATCCGAGTCTGTGTGGTTACTGTTCTCCGGCAGTTCAGTGATGATTCTGGTCTTGGTGAAAGCTCGGACCACAATTGATACTGATCCTTAGCCCGGGCGTTCACGATCCATTGGCAGATCGTGGCGCAAGTCTCTCGGCGCTGTCTCTCTGTCTTGGTGAATGTGTGTTCTTCTCTCATCCACTGCTCCCACGCAGCTCACACTTTCACTTTATAATAGTCTTGAGTTTAAAGTGGGCGTTGTGAGCGTGTCTCTTGACAGGTGCATTTTGATATTAAAAGGAATCACAGTCTGTATTACTCCTGATGCTCCTGACTACAGGAGCCACAATGCTGCAAGTCGAGTGGCTTTGTAGTTTACTAAAGTCGTACTAAGACACCCCAATAAATTCATATATAAGGCTCCCTGAGTTATAAGGCGCGCAGTCGTTTTTTGATTAAATTAAAGGCTTTTAAGTGTGCCCTATAGTGCAAAAAATATGATATACAGCCCCTTTTAATACCCCAGAGTTGTTCATATTGTGTTTCAAGTGAATATTGGTCAATCTGCATCTGTTATTGATCAGTGACTGTTTGGCTGTTTGATCAGTTGAACTGAATGTAAATGAGCTTACAACATGCTGTGTATTGTTTTGTTAGGAATGGGCTTCAGAGATCGGACCAGTACATTCTGTGGGACGCCGGAGTTTTTGGCCCCTGAGGTTCTGACAGAGACGTCGTACACACGGGCGGTGGACTGGTGGGGTCTGGGCGTGCTCATATTCGAGATGCTGGTGGGAGAGGTCGGTCACATTAAACAATCTATACTTAGAATATTAAGGTTCTATATCATGCAAAATTGACTCTTGTGAGATTTTAGTTGTGTTATAATGCTGTTGCCTCAGTAAAAACATGCTCAGAGTTGTTTTGTTTCATCCACACGTTTGAGTAAAATTGCATTGTTCGTCTGTCTACATCTCTAAAGCTCAAAATGCTCTGTTCCACCTTGTGATGTCATCAAGTGAATTGCTATCCATTTATCTTTTGTTTAGTAGAGATTGGCAGTTCCAGGAATAAAATCATCCGAATGATTCTAGGGAAGGTGTTTGGAGTTTACAGTTTAACACAGTGGAGCAGTTCTTGTATCACCACATGACATCACAAGGTGGAACAGAGTGTTTTCTGTTTGAGAGAAGAACTCAGAATAGATTGGAAAATTGGCCTTTTAAAGATTCACTTTGTAACTTTTTTCTGTGTGTTTCCATGGATAGAACTTTGCCTGAAACTTTGTCCTACAGAACGGAATTAAACTATTTTGTATTTTTGTAAAACTACAAAGTGTTTTATTGTGTCAAAAAATACCTTGACAAAAACATCTGCTTGTGGGGTCACCTGGTCTGTTTGTGTCACTTGCTTGTCTCCATGGAAATAGAAAAGTTTAATGCTACACTGTAGGATTATTCTAGGCCAACCAAGAACGTAAATGAGCCTTGGAGACATGAAGTAGCTGGCTCACCCTTATCCAGAAAAGTTACATAGTTTAACTTTAATTTTAGGATTAGAGTTGATTGTTTGTTTTGTTCTTCAGTCTCCGTTTCCTGGCGACGACGAGGAGGAGGTGTTTGACAGTATAGTGAATGATGAGGTCCGGTATCCACGTTTCCTGTCCACAGAGGCCATCTCCATCATGAGGAGGGTGAGGAGACTAAATAAAGACGGTGTTCTACAGATTGTGATCACTGATATGACAGGTTTGAATCTTTATGTCCGTGTTTATGTGTTTGTAGCTGTTGAGGAGGAGTCCTGAGCGGAGACTGGGAGCCGGAGAGAGAGACGCAGAGGAGGTCAAGAAGCATCTGTTCTTCAGGGTGAGGACTTTGCGTTCATTTAAATGATTAAAAAAGACATCAAACGTGTGTGAGTTTGTTTAACGTTTTGGTTTGGACAAGACACAAATCCCTGAATCCACAGATCTTGGTTTATGTTATTACAATGCACTTAGTTAATGCCAAATGATAATCCACAGATGAACTGTGTGACGTGTGACTTTTCTGGTAGAGGATCCACCACCTGCTTGTCTCTGTGGAAATCTTGCTGTTGGTTTTTCTGAGAGAGCAGAGAGTCATGGAGAGTAGCAGATTTACATTTTTTTTGTTCCTTAATATGTGTTGTCCTTTTACAACTAAAATATATACCGTATTTTCCAGGCTATTAGTCGCTCTGGATTATAAGGCGCATTGTCATTAAATGGTATATTTTTGAACGTTTTTCACAAATAAACCACACCGGACTTTAAAGGAAACACAACAGTGTGATGGGTGAGTGGTTTTGTTTGTTTGTGGCGTTCACGGTGACTCTGGGCTTTGTTCAGTTGTGGCGTGTAGGGAGGGTGTTGTCTGGGACCAATGGATTGTCGGCGTGTTCGCAGTGACTCAGTTGTTCAGTTGTGTCTAGAAGTGGCACATTGCACTCGCTTTTTCGGTTTGTTCCTCCGTTCTGTTCCTCGTCGGCGTGGAGTGATGAGTGTGTCTGTGGGTGTGTTTCTCTGTGCGGTCGCTGTCTGCTCCGTGTGTGTTTGTGTGTGCTGCAGGTGGTGCGGCTTTGTAGTTTACTGAAGTCGTGCTGGGACACCTGAGTGGATTCGTGTATAGGGCGCTCTGGATTGTGGGGCGCACAGTTGTTTTTTGATGTGGTTGGAGGCTTAAGAGCACGTCTAATAGCCCGGAAAATACTGTATTTAAAGAAAGATCAATTAGTCAAAACTACAACACACGGATGGATTGGATTTGCACTAGAGTACTCTTATTATTTGTTATTTTTAATTATTTATAAAGGGACAGTACATATCAATTAACATTTAAAATGTAAATATGTAAAGATTATAGCAGTGTGGCTAATTTTTATTTTCAGTCCCTCAGCAAGTTGATGTGAAATCATGTACAGGACAGTAAAAGTACAGCAACAATCACACAAAAGCCCATGTAACACCTGCACACTCATTATACATATACTGTAAGTCATTTCAGATAGTTAGAAGTTAGAAGTTAAAAGTTAAGACTGGATTTGACCCTGGTTGCTGGTGATTGTCCACAGGGAGGAGAGGAGAGCTCTTGATGGTGTGAGCTGTTGGTGCTCTTCCGTCTCTGTTTGTATTTGTTTGGACTTGTCATAGTGACGCTGATGTGTCATTTGCCTCTGAGTGCGTCACCGGTGTCTTGTTTATGTCGTTGTTTATTTGCATTCTCACTCTGCAGCAGTCTGGATCAAGTCTGTCATATTTGTTTAGGCGGGTGCAGGTCAGAGGTGACTTAACTTTTGTGCACTTTCTACCACGTTATAATGTCCCTTCATCAAAAACAAGGTATAAAATGTCATTAATGCATATTTGAGTGATCTCTCCTGGGACCTATTCAAACCCTCCTTATATATTCGAAATATTATAATATATCACAATATCTTGTCTCGTTCTCGTGGACTCAGTCTTGTATCTCGTCTCATCTTGTGTAAATTGTGTCTCGTCTCATTCGTGTTCTATTGTTTTTGTTTTTTTTGTTTTTTTCAGAACATGGACTGGCACGACCTCCTCGCCAAGAAAGTCAAACCTCCGTTCGTCCCAACGATTCAAGGTGCCAACGACGTCAGCAACTTCGACGACGAGTTCACTTCGGAGGCGCCCATCCTGACCCCTCCCCGAGAGCCCCGCCCCCTTTCCGTCACCGAGCAGGACATGTTCGCGGACTTTGACTACATCGCAGACTGGTGTTAGCATTAGCGAATCGACGCACTGTGAACGCCTTTTTAAAAAAAACGACCCAGGGACTCTCAAAAACTTCAATGAACTCAAGTCTCTGTGCCATTTGAAGCCCAAAGAGAGCCTGACTTTTTTTTTTTTTTTACCACAATGAAGAACAGTTTTAAGTGTTTGACCACTGCGAATGTTCCAGATGAACTTTATGGCAACGCTACAATCATGTCACTGTCTGTACAAAGTATACTGTATTTACGTATATGTTTTTATCCTTTTTGTGTTTCGCCGAAAGACTTTTAAAGGTCCTATATTACGCAAAATTGACTCTTGCGAGCTTTAAGCCGTGTTAGTTACCTCATCGAAAATCATCGAGTCGTGTTTTGTTTCGGTCACACACGTTTGAGTAATCCTGCATTATTATTCTGTATCCGGAGTATAAGGCACCAGCCAAAAAATGTAATGAAGAAGAAAACAACATATAAGTCGCACAAAACTATAAGTCGCACTTTTTGGAGGAAATTTGTTTTATAAAGTCACGACCAGGAACAGACATTTCCTGTGTAAAGTCAAGTTCAAGTAATAACAATAGAAGAGAGAACAACAGACTGTTAACGTTACATATGAACAGTTCTTCAGATAAACTCTAACATAAAGAACAGAACAAGTTTACCAAACTCTCCATCTCACTCCAAATCACTAAATCCATTCAATTCTTCATCCTCTGTGTCACTTCTGAGCAACTCGGCCTTGACCTCCGGAGGTAAACAGAGCGTCTCTTCCTCTTCTGTGTCGCTGTCGTCAGACTCAGCATCAGTTCCAGTTAGAATTATTCGGGTCTTTCTGAGTCCTAACAGGATGGTTTCAGTGTCACTGAAGTCCAGGTTTTGTCCATCCATCCAGTGACTTCAGGAAAGTTTCATGGTGCATCCTCCCGGGAAGCTGTGTTCTCCATCCCCGCATTCCAACAGTCCCTCATAAGTTTCTTGCTCACTCCAAACTTTCTTTCTGCTGCTTGATTACCGGTTTCAGCTGAATATTTCACTACTTGCAGCAGTACAGAGTCTCTTTCTGCAGGAGACATGTGCAGTAGAGTGAAGTGACAGTGGTACAGGAGGAACAGGAGCAGCAAATACTCACACGCAAGACTAGAACCTCTCACGACTGTCAGTGTGAAAATTCTACTATACAACTCTCACCGGAGTATTAGTCAGAGGAAACACTCAAACCATGAAAAAAAATGCGACTTATAGTCTGAAAAATACAGTATCTCCAAAACTTTAAACGCTCTGTTCCAGTTTGTGATGTCATGTAGCTATAGTTAACAGCTAACTTTTACCTTTCTGAAATTGTTTAAATAATTTTCGTGAAGGTGTGTGGAGTCTAAAAACATACTGGAGCACTTCTTGTATTACCACATGACATCACAAGGTGGACCCAGAGCGTTTTCTGTTTGAGAGAAGCTCAGCCTAAATATGTAGACATTTTGGTGTCAAACGTGTGAATGAAACAAAAAAAACACGACTCTAGGTGTTCTTCTGATGAGGAAACAACATTATAACAGAATAGAAACAGAAAACGGCGTAATATGGGCCCTTTAAGGAGCCAAAAAATGCACGGGAGAGGTAGTTTGTGTTAGCCAAACTCAACAAGAACTGCTACTTACACGTCTGAGCCCATCCGCTTCCATATAACATATTTTTGTATAATTCTGAAAGTCTTCCATATCAAATGCAGACAATCATTTCTACCTGTAGCTGAAAACCTAGCAGTGTTAAGTGCATGAACTGTATAATAATAAGAACATGGAGAAGACCGCACTGCCTTCAAGCAAAAAAAAAAAAAAGAAATGTGGTGTAAAATTTAAGAAAACTCACTGTTGGAATGTCATACGCAGTTTTAGAGCGGACCCTTTGATACTTTGCTGCGTGTCTGTGGTGGGATGTTCAGCGGTTACCACGGTGACACAACGCACACAACACAAACACGGCCAAAACTGTTTTTAAAATGGTCTGAAAACTCGAGAAAAAATACAAAATGGATCTAAAGAGCACATTTTCAGGAGCCTCTGATCAATACGAGCGTTTATGTTCCAGTAACAGCACTTCAGACAGAGCAGTGCCTCCGGTTAGCGTCACACCCCACGGAATTTTGACGACATCAGCTGCAAAGTACCAATAAGCTTTTCGTTGTAGTAAATTCATACTTGAGACCAGTACAGTGAATTCATAGTGCCAGTGAGTGACAGCCAATCAAATCATCATGTACATTTGGAAATTCTGTCGTTTTTTTTTGTTTTTATTTTAAGGATAATCTTTGCTATTTCAAAAACATTTTACATTTTGGACCATTGATTTGCAAATTGCGTTGTAAAGTGTAATATTGTCTACTTCTCTCCGGTTTATTATTATTTTGCATTAGATCGCTGTACTTTTTGGCTAATTGATTCTATTCTGAAATTATGCCTTGAAAGTGCCTAAGTTATTCAAAATTATCGCTAATATGAATTCTAAATATTTGTGATTTATTTTTTTTTTTATACTGTTTTGTGTGGTGGCTTCAATCAAAACCTGACCACAACATGAACTAAGACTAACTGTAAATGACTCTAGATAAATGATATCATTAATTTTGCTATAAATTATGGATCTAATATTGTTTTATGAATAATTTTCTGATAATCCAACACGCACCCACACCAAAACCTACTGAGACCAAACCTCAGTATTTTACACCAAATTTAGGAATAATTTGCTGTAATTTCTTGGCATAAAAAATAATTATAGAACGTAATTTTATATTTTTGGAGATAAATATGAAATAATATTAAGGTTTCAGTTTAAAATGGTTGAAACACTTTAAATGTTCTGTTATTACTGAGTGAATATTCCCTAGATGCCCTTTGCTGTTTGGTCCATTTGTAATACATTTTAGAGCGAGTGTTCTTAAAGAGGGGGTATTACGCGAAAAGTTTGAGCTGTTTCTTCATCAAAAACATGCCTGAAGCAGTTTTATGTCATCCATGCATGTTTGAGTAATCTAGCAATCTCTTCTGGGCTCTGTTCGAACCCTGAGATTCTGTACAAGCCAATTTTCATAAATATACAAAAGCATTTCCTGCAAAACATTACACTAAAACATCACAAACCTGATTACAATGTGCAGTAGTTTCGTTGCGGTAGTGCTCTGAAGGAGGAGTGACTTGGCACTGGGAGCAAAGGAAAGGGAAGACTCGGAGCAACAAAAAAACGACTTAAACGTTAATAAATTTTTGGCGAATATACAATTTTTGAAACAAAAATTAATGCCTCATAGAAGTATAATACCCCCTCTTTAATTTTATGTTTAATTTCGTAAGCAAAAATGTTATCTATCCTTGAGATTATAGAAAAATACTTATATTTTTTGTCAAGAAAAGCACTATATAATTTCATAGCTGGTCTTTACAATGCAAGTCTGTTCCATGACTTATTCTGTTTGACAATGACATTTCTGCTTGATTTTTGTGTTTGTTTTGCAACTTCCATCAAACTGTTTATGGACAAGTTTCATTACCTCAACCTCAAAGACTTGTAACTACAGCAATAAAACCAAACCAAGATCTTCCTGAAGCTGCAAAAGTGGTTTATAATGAGATCGACTGACAATATGCTCCCTTCATCTTGTTTAAATCTTGGCTCAGTCCACAATCACTTTAAAGGAGCCTTCTATATAAAGACTGTATACACACGTAAGCTGAAAGCACTAATTTTATCCATAGTTTTGAATTATCTACGTTTTCTAATGATGAACATAGATTGTACAAAGTTGTGTTTTTTATTCTTTGCTTGTTGTGCTTGTTGTCAGGACAGGAAATGGATGGTACACCATTGTCACTGAACTGTTCACACCGGTGTAAAAAGTCCAGGCAGTGTTGACAGTTGTTGCCTATCGAAATGCACAATTAAACATTTGTAATAGTGATCTGTGGTCTGGTTTTCTCTTTTGAAGTCTCCTGGTGGTCAAAATGTATAATGCACTTTTGGAGAGCATAGAAGATCAGATAGTGTAATATAGACTGCAAACACAACAGTCTGAGAAGTATTGGTTTACTTCAACATTAGTTACCATTACTGTTACATAAAATTTGATCCCATCTGAGGAGCAGTGGGCACCACTATCTTCATGGTCTTGTTGATCAGGACTACCTCAGCCGGAGCTTGTACCTATGGAGCATGTGTGGTGTTGATGGGGGAAACCGGCGTGCCCAGAGGAATCCCACCCAGACACAGAACAAGCAAGAAGAGACTTCAGAAAGAACTACACAGAAAGGCCCAGGGCGACCCGGGGAACACACCCAGAACCTTCTTGCTGTGAAGCTTGAGTGCTGTGCCAACATTTAAAGTGAAACAATTGACCATCAGATGTAAATGTACCAATAAAACAAGATGCTGATTGTAGGACTTTAAGGAAAATCTTTAATTCTTTAAATATCTTGAACAGTTCAAACAAAATATAACCTGGTCGTTTCCTACAAAATGAAAGTCTGTTTACAAGAAGAAAACAGCCTAAAATGTGGTGGTGCCAGATCCACCGGACATATATGTACAGAACAGTCTGCAGCTGGAATGTGCCGTCCATCAAACCTCCACAAAGAGCCTCGGAGATGGTGTCAGAGCAGATCACAGCTGGGGCAGCTTCTCCACCGGTGTGTCAAACTTAAAGTCTGTGGGGAAGAGCTCTGCAGCGCGAGGGTAGATCAGTCGATATGACTGTCGAATCGTCACGTCCGCCACACCAGCGATATCACCGATCTCTGTCAGGGCACAGGACAGTAGAACTATTCAGATAAACAGTGAGGATTACACCAACTTTACCAGCACTAATTATTTTTGTACTTTTTAATAGCGAAAACTGTATAATACAGTCCAGACATATGTATACATGTATGTACATGTCACAGTTGAGAGGCAGGCTTGTTTAATCTCCCCAGTCTAGATGAAGTTGATGTTTATTCAGACACTTATAGCTATAAACCTTTGACTCATGCAGGCGTGCATTTCTTTCTCACCTTTCTGCGTCTTCTTCTCAGCTGAGGCCTGAGAGGCCATGTAGATGGCAGCGGCTGCCACAGAGATGGGGCTGCGCCCGGGCACAAGGTCCATGTCCACGGCCTTGCGGGCGATGTAGGTGGCTGCCATCTGCACTTGTTTGGGGAGACCCAGGTTGGAGCAGAAGCGGGACATAAAGTCTCCGCTGGTGATCAGGTCCACACTGGTCTCCAGAGCCTTCAGGATCAGTTTGAAACAACGACCAATCTCCTTCTTCGAGATCCGGGACACGGCGCAAATCTCTACAGAAACCAAACACATCAAATTAAGAATTAAGAATGACAATATTGTTTTTATTATTGATTTCTACCATTTTATATTTTGCCAAGAAATGTTGGAAAGTTGGTTTCAGAAAATAAAAATCATATCTATGCGTATGACCTTTGAATGTCCGAGGGACGCCTTCCTGTCGACAGGCGATGTAGAGGCAAGCTGAAGCAATGGCGTCATTGGCTCGTCCCTTCAGACTCTTCTGTTCATAAACCTGTTTGAACAGGTTGTTTGTCCGGTCCTGTAGGGTGCACACACATATTCAAAGTCAGACACAGACACAGAGAGGCAGAGTCACCTACAAAGCCACAGAAACAGTTGTGTTAGCTCCTGGTTTACTTTACAGACTTTAGACAAACTCACCACGATGTTTCGGGGCAGGTTGATACGATCGGCCATTGTGCTGATCTCTTTGAAGGCGTTGAGCATGGCGCGGTCTGAACTGCTCATCGTTCGTCTGTTTTGGTATTTGGAGTTTCCAAACTCGTCAAAACTGGCTGCTCCTGTTCCCTGTGGACAAAGAACATGGATTTACACTTTGCACTCCCTGCAGTCTGACCCCCTCTCCCCCTCCTCCTCCTCCTCCTCCCTCCTGTCCTCCTGTCCTCCTGTCCTCCTGTCCTCCTGTCCCCCCCCCCCTGCCCCCCTGCCCCCTCTGGCTTCCTGTCTTCCTGTCCTCGTGTTCCTCCTGGCTGCTCTGGGCACAGACCTTGCTGATCATTGTGGTCAAGTCTCCACCATTGAGCAGAGGGTTCTGGGCATCTCCCACTCGAGATGGATCTTTGAGGGCTTTTTCATTTGAGAACGTTCTCCACTCGGAGCCGACGTCGATTACTCTATCACCTGAGGAGAGACAAAAGAGCTATGAGAACACATTGACACACAAATGTTAGATTTGACAGGATTTAGGACTAGAGATTGACCGGTGTCTTTTTTCATGGATGATCCCAATCAACTCCAGAGAAACCGGCAGCTAATAAGCACGGCCAGTAAGTTCCAATAATATTTTGGGACCGATATGTGGAGACGATTTTTATTTTCTGATTTGAATTTAGGACACACTCATCCCTGACTTTGTCTTACTACAAACAGTATCACAGAGTAGTGTAGTTTCATTTTGTGCAGTGTTCTCTCCTTTTTGTAGTCAGTTGTTTTAATTAATTTTATTTATTCAGTATTTTATCATCAGGTAAGTCCACTAAGAATTATTTACAATGACGAGCTTGCCATTCAAATTAAGCTTTATGCACATTTTGTAGGCAGCTTGTCGACCCAAACTAAATACCGGCCTCTGCTAGAGATTGAAGGAGGTCAAGACCAGTACACTAAAAAGGACAAATATCGGCCCGATACATTGGTCTTATTCTATTTAAGACAATGTCAGCTTGAAAAATACATCTACTACAAGTAAAATACACTCCATCTTTAAGTATTTCGTGTAGATAAAAACATGGAAAAGAGATGAATCAACCACAAAGGTGTTAGCACTTCTGTTGTTGTCATTTGCTCACATATTTATTGCGTATTTAACCAGTGATTCGAATATCTCTCCAACCACCATGGCCTGTGTCACTGGAGGCACTTAAAGTTGAATAGAAAACATCATTCACTTGTGTATTTTGGGTGCTTTGCCTTTTCCTCTGTCACCCACGTCTCATCACACACACACACAGCTGAGTAATGGGCAACTAAACATAGCCCTGCACAGTGTGACCTCTCTCCTCAGGTGTGTGCTGTTGGAGAGAGGATGTTGGGTCTGTGCTGTAGTAATGCGTTTATGTCTCCATCTCTCTGTTCCTGTCTGTGGGAGAGGGGGGGGGCAGGGGCACAGGGGAGGGCTGTGGTTGCATCAGAGACCCCCTGGGGCTTGTTAAGACCCACTTCCTCTGCTCTGGGAATACTGCAACTCTTACCAGTCATGTCATTTTAAACACAAAACTATTGCCTTCTTCAGACAGTAATGATACGCACCTTTGTCAACATTTTAATTACAATTTTTTCAGACACTTATTAAATGTTGTAGAATGAGATTAGATGAATAATGAAGTACCTAAAAGAAAATATATGGTACAGTAGAATGGATTATATGAACAAAAAGGGTGTTTGTAATTGATGTTAGAGGCAGCTAAGTTTGTAACTGCCAAAAAGCCAAAACAAAAATGCCCCGACATGTTACATAACTGCTTTCATTGGAAGGTGTGAAAGCCTCATGTCAGACTTTGGTCTAGTCTGACACTTATAATGAAACTGAAAGATTTTTCCTAATAGTTAATCATTATCTGGACTAGGTTGACAGTAAACAAATGCCAAGAGCCATTTTATAACAAAGACAGCAGCATTATTAAATCAAAACATAAATATTGTAAATACTCTCTATCTGAACCATGTCATATTTTTTCCTTTGATTGATTTAAATTAAATAATGTGACTAATCAATTCACTGAAAAACAATAAAAAATTGCAGACTGCAGCCGTACTGTAAACAGAAATGTATCAATAGCCATAGTGTCATAAACCAGTGGGCAGTGTTTCCCATTGATTTTGGTTAGTATCACAAATATTTTCTATGTTAATAATTTTCTTTCATTTAATTTTTCAAGTTTAAATGTCTCCCTGTACTTCCTCTATTTCATATTTAAGCAGTGAAGAGTGGAGTTACTTTTTAGATGAATGACAATAAAAGGAGCAACAAAGTTAGATTTTGTTATGCCAATGTCTAGACCATGTTCTTTTAAAAGAAGTAGCCACCAAAGTCTATTACAGTCTGCAGTCTGAACTTTTTACATCAAGTTCCACCAAAGAAAAGATTAGGCTTTCCGAGTACCACCAGATCTAAACCAGGTCTATAACAAGAGTATTCCAGGTTTAATCTAGGTCTAAATCAGGTCTAAAAGTGGACTATATTTCCATTGTGGTTCCAAACAAGAAATTATCCAGAAGAGGACAAAAAGTGCATAAAATTAACTCAACCCCACAAGATGTTTATGTACAAGCTTGTGTTCAACTCACCAACGACGAGGCCACACTCTGGGCAGATCATGTCCCCGGCTCTGTAGTCCTCCACCAAACAGGCGTCTGGGTGATTAGGGCAGGTCACTCTGGGCAGAGACAGCCCATCGCCACTGCAACACCATAACCAACAGCCCCAGGTTATTCTCAAGTACTTTTATCACGATACTGACATTTCAAACTATTTAGATACTAAGGAAAAGGCCTTGATACTGGATACAAATAAAAAAAAATAAAAAAAATCCCTTAGACAACAGAATTGAATTGTCAGCACAAAAATAGTGGTCCTTTCTTTATGTTACCATGAGGTTCTATACTGGTGTTGATAAACTAAACATTACTCTAAAACTATTCAAGACAGTATATTTTCAATACTAGTTGTAGTATCCAACATATTTTTACCCAGCATAAAAAGTCAGTGAGATAGTAAAGAATAACAACGTTACTAAATGACACATTAAACAACATTACAAGCATACTTAACCTAAAACCTTCACTATAATCAGTTTTGATTAATGTTACATTCAAAAAGGTGACATTGACCTAAACAGATTATGTTTAATTATAGGCATCTAACTGTTCCCCATTCAAGGC